ACAATAATGTATTCCCTACAAGACCTACAAGCGGTAGAACCAAGATTATTACTGTATTATTAATCACATTATTCTCTCTTATTTCAATCAAGGGCACACTGCAAAACGACACTTCAAGTTGTATGGTGATTCTATCTCTTTATTACCATTGAAACTGAGTTATAGTAGACGGGCATCTCATCAGATTTCTACCCATGTGCTACGTGTATTGTTGGAGGAAGTGTTAGGATACGAAGATGTTGTGTTGGTCCCTGATGATTCTGGTCTTTCAGTAAATGATGCTCTTCTGAAGTTAGCAGGGTGCGACAATCACGGGTACATATATGCAGCCATGTATATAGTATGCTTGAGTAAGAATGGTGCAAGGAAAATCAAACTACCGCCAACGCGCAACATAATGTAGCTCCATGATCATGCGATCATAAACCTATTCTTTTGCAGGCTTTAGAATATGATCTCGGTGATCTTGTATATCTTTAGAATCCTGAATGATTGTAAAGAAACAACTTGCGGTCTTGAATTCATTAGACATCTAGGGCTTTCTTGAGGACAATAAATTCATTAGAGCTGCTAATAATTTTAAGAACCTTATCCTTAAATTATGTGGTTGTTATGGTGACCCTGATAGTCCAATATGTAATGAAGTGTCCTTGAATTCTATTAATTTGTTGGTAGCCACATATATTCAAGCCCAAGTTCAAAAAAATACATCTTAACACTTTTTTCCTCCTTAAGTTAAGTATAAAAAACAAATAAATACATACTCTTCTTCTTATTTCACGTTTAATAGTGGCTGTCATTCCAGTGCTGTTCCAGATGTTATGATCAATACCGAAGTCTGGGTACCACCTGATTATCAATACAACAAGTGGATAGAGAATAGGTTGGTGGATAATGCTGGAACCNCACTATTCTTTAGAACCTCTCCAAGCTATGCTGAGTTTAAATATGCCTATGCTACTGTGTTTGAGTTCTTCAAATGGAAGCAGTATGCATCACTGACTGATACAAACTATGTGTCGCAGACTGTGACGGCTATTCATGAGTATTTAGAGAGCAGAGGGATTACTTTGGTATATGCCAGACAAATTGCAAATCAAGACCGCGTTGATATAAAGACTTATGTGAGGTCCTTGCTAGAGAGCTCAGCAAAGATTATTATTGCTACTTTGTTTGAGGGTCTGGCAAGAGCTGTTGTCTGTGAAGCCTATAGACAGGTGAGCAATGTCATAAATGTTTTAATGCTACAGAACTCACAAGTTAAACACCAGCAGCTCTAAACCTAACTTTAACTAAGACCTAACTTTACCAAGTGCCAAACATGTAGAAGAGGGTTTTATCATTTTATAGCTCCCATATAGGCATTTTAAAATTGGAAATTGCAGTTCTTTCTGAAAACACACCCAGTCCCTCTGGGATGTAATATATCAAACACGAGAGACAGTGTTTCATCAGGATATCCAAACACTGAGAAGAGAGTTGAAAATACGACGCACAGCAGAGTATTTTTGACAAAATTCGAGGTGTTTGGATAGCCGATGAAACACTGGCTCGAGTGTTTGATATATCCTCTCAATTGAAACAAAAACTAAGGAGTAAATGGAGAAGTAAAATCGCCAAAATTTATGCTAATTAAGACCGGGTATCCAAACCTACTTCATGGTTGTGATTTACTTTGTTTCAACTTGATGAATTATTAATGAGTTTGAGAAGTTTATATGAAGGACCTCCACTGGAAGGAAGCCACTAAAATAAATGACATCATAGACTGATTGTGATTAATCCAGTTCAAATGTTTCTTTTTGGGGACAGATGCATTAATTTTGCATGTTATTCTAACTGAATGGTTTTTCCAGGGTTTGACTCCACAGAGAGGCTATGTTTGGTTTCTGCCTGCATGGCTGGCAGATAGCTGGTGGCATGTGGATCAGGTTAAAGAGCATGGCCACAGCACTGATGGGATGCTGATTGTGCCGTGCTCCACCGCCGACATGAAGGAGTTTGTCAGTGGAGGGTATTTCTCCCTCTCAAATGCCTTTTACGGCACTAAATGGGCTAAGATATTAAGTGGAGGCACTGTGGGTCAGTGGAGACAAGAATATGAAAAGAGAGTCAAGAAAGAGGTGACTTAATCGACTTATTTGTCTTGATGGTTGAGCATGCTTCCAGTGTTTCACATGTATTGTATTATTACTAATTGTCTTTTGACTACAGAATGGTTTGTTGGGTGGTTGCTGAAAGGGATTATGCCCAGGGCTTTCTTATAGGAGTTCCAAGGGTATTTAAATTACAACATACTATGAAATGTTGGGAGACTGGTATGGGGATGGACTCTGGATCCAGTGGCAAAAGTTCAATTGAGGCCTTACACTACCGTAAAATGATATTAAAATCATTTAAAAATCCTTGGCCACTTTCATTAAAAATGCTACTGAAGGACAACATCCAACGATTATTCTGGATCCAGTACTGGTAAGATAGCTGGCTGAATGCTGAACTTGGCCAGCAGGGTGAGCTATCCAGGGAGAGCAACAATACTCCTATTAGTCTCTTCACGCTACATTTGTATGAAGACAAGGATGCTCACCCAGTGAGGGTCGGTTAGCCTGACTGGAATTTGTGCTTTTCTTGATAAGACTTTATAGATTCCACCCCTTCTCTGGTCTGGGGCCCGTTTCTCGAAAGCCCCGGAAACTTTTCGGACCTGGAAAGCCATAGCAAAATCTCAAACTTACGAGTACAGAGCTGTTTTATTCACATATTCTTAAGATGAGCAGAGGTTCCCTTCATACAAGAAGTTTCAGGCGTATACACTTCTCCGTTTTTAGATACAGATGGACTAAAAATGACTTCACGGGCCTGAAAAGTTTCAGGGCTTTCGAGAAACAGGCCCTTGGAAGTGAACAGCTGACATTTCGCATCATCTGACTAGCAGCCATTTTACGGTGACTACGATGTGGCCTTCAAATGTTTTCTGTCTACACAGCCTATTAACTGATTTACTTACTTGTGCTTGTAGTGCCCCTCAGGACACCTAAGGCCATTCAGTCTTACTATTAAATGGGTGTGTTACTAATGTTGTTTTGAAGGGTCACGCTCCAACAGGATATGCAAGTTTTGCCCATGATGCCATGTGGGCCTATGCGCTGGCACTGGATAAACTTTTTAAGGCATATCCCACAGGACTGGATACAATAAGAACTAATCAGTCAACTAAGTGAGTAAATTCCTTTTAAAAAGATAGTTTTAAAGTGTTAAATTAATTTTAGTTAGTACTTTATGATATATCATACCATATATGTTTTTTGTGCTCGCCATGTTCAACTTTGGACCTAAGCTCATTAACATTTGTAACGTTTAAAACTGACAAAAGTTAAAATGAGGACGGAAACTACTGTAAAATTGATTGATGTAAAATCTTTCAAAATCCAAGCTTTTGCCGATCCATGGCATCATCAGGGATGATCTAATGTTTGTTTGTGGGATGGGGGGGGAGTTGATCCTTTTTACACCCGAGTCAAAATCTGGATTGAATTAATCCAGTACCACAAGACAGTACTGACATATAGCTTTCCTTTGTACATGTGAACATTCAAATGAAAGCTTTCAAGCAGTGCTCTCACATGGGACTGTTTATTGTCTTGTACAAGGTCGTAAGGTTCTAACTTTTCAGTCTATGAATAAAACCCTAGTGTGTGACTATTCAAATTAAAGCTATTGAGGAGTACTTTCATGTGGTAGTGTTAATTTTGCGAGACTTTACAATCAGAAATTTGGAATTTTTTCGTCAGTTTAGAACTTGAACAGCCATAGTGGGAGTAAAAGGGTTAAAAAAGGGCCTGCCCAGTAAAAGCAGCACTTGTTCCCTTGGCCCAAATGACAGGTAGAATTTCAACGGCTATTTGTTCTTTAATAGGCTCTTGAAACAATATCTGCAGCAGACCAACTTCAGTGGTGTGTCTGGCCGTGTGATTTTCAGAAACGGTGAGCGTCATCTCCCCACTGTTGAAATGGCGCAGCGCTTTTCCAGCAGGGCAGTGACAGTGGGACGTGTGCTTCCCAACATGTATGCTCATTGTGATACTGAAAGTAGAAGTTGTCTAGAGCTGAATGAAAACAGTATTCAGTGGCCAGGGGGGAGAAGACCTGCTGATGGCAGACCAGGTAAGTGCAATGTGTCCTTCAAGATTGAGACTTAGTGGTGTCTTTTACAATCTCAATTTGGAAGAGGAATCCAGCAATAATGACAATTTGGAGCGGTGGTTAAGTGAATGTGTCATTTGCAGTCATGCATGCGGTTTTAAAACTGTCTTCCATCAGTGCTGCATCATGATCACTTGTCGGTCATGTTCATAGCCAGATGAAAAGAGTTCCCAACTGTATTTTTATTTACCGTTTTTTTTTAATCCAACCTGTTTAATGTCTGCCAAAGTGCTAAAGAGCTCATCAAGGTGGCTTGCACCTGAACTTTAAATTCAAAATAGATTAACTTGCGTTTGCATTGTAAGGCCCAGTTCAGACG